GGAGCTGTACTCCGTGATGATGTTTACACTATCAATCTCAAGTTCTGCCTACCCAGGAACATGTATCCAGCGGTGGTCCAATGGGCCCATGGGCCAGCCCACCTGTCAAAACTCCTGATGAACTCGCTGATTGACAAGTATTTTGAAGCACCAGGCATCACTACTTTAACACAGAATTACTGTAAATCTTGTACTATATGTGCTAAATGCAATCCTGGGAAAGTTATAAAGACTGCACTTAACCACCTAGCTAAACCACAATACCCCTTCCAGAGGATTCAGATTGATCACATCCAGATGCCAAAAAGCGGACGTTATGAATATGCATTGGTTATAGTGGACATGTTTTCAGGATGGCCAGAGGCCTTCCCAGTGACCAACCTCACCGCAAGAACTACAGCCAAGTACCTTCTGACAGAAATTGTTTGCCGCTATGGAGTTCCAGAAGTGATTGAAAGTGACCAGGGAACCTCCTTTACTGCCTCACTAACACGGGAAGTCTGGTCAGCACTGGGGGTGACCCTTGCATTCCATACACCATATCACCCACAGAGTAGTGGCAAGGTAGAACGCATGAATGGCACTTTGAAAGCCAGAATGCTTAAAATGTCACAAGAAACTAACATGCCCTGGCCCGAGAGTCTCCCATTAGCATTGTTTAGTGTGAGGTACACTCCTAGGGGAAAATACAGCCTGTCACCTTATGAGATTCTGTTTGGTACAGCACCCAGGTTAGGTTGTTACTTTCCCCAACAGCTTCAGATCCAGTCAGATGCTATGGTAGATTATGTGACAGCCCTCTCACATGCCTTGACCAAGATACATGCCCAAGTGTTTTCTTCTATTCCAGATCCTGAGTCGAATACAGGTACACACAAGCTGCTTCCGGGTGACTGGGTTATGGTTAAGAAGTTTCTCAGAAAGCACACCCTGGAACCGAGATTTGATGGTCCTTACCAAGTGCTCCTGATTACAGCAACGTCAGTTAAACTAGCTGGGAAGAGTTCTTGGATACACGCTTCACATTGCAAAAAAGTTCCTGCTCCAGAAGAGACTGATCCTGTTGAAAAATGAATTTATTATGTGTCTTGTGTTTTCTTATGCTGCTACATCTTGCCTGGGCCCAACAAGTGGCCATTACCAAAGATAATCATGTGTACACTTTTTGGTACAATTCTTCTAATACTGATGTGGCTACATACACCTTTGACTATTGTGACATAGTCACTTGTACATTTCCACAAACACAACATGCAGCTATATATAAGGACATACCTAACAAAAAGGATCCATACATTTGTGTGACTGGAGGAGTCTGGGGTCACCATTGTAGTTCATGGAAAGCTGCTGGGTGGAACACAGGTAGACCATGGGGTTACAGACCTCAAGTAGCATTAGACAAACTTGACAAAGATGGGAAACCCTTACTCTCTAGAATGACCCTGAGTAAACCCATAGGGTCAACTCCCATTAAACTCACCTTGAATATAGAACACCCTAGTCCGAGGGATGCAGGGGAGTATGTGATGGGAATGTACTGGAAGGGAGGCGGATCACATAACGCATTAGGGACCTTTTACCTGCAAGATATGCTAAATTCTTCTGACTGGGTGGGAACCACACATATGGTCATTAACCCATTGAAACCACATATCAAGACCCTACATGACATGGTGGCCATAGCTAACCCCACTTTTGAAGATACCATGGCAGTAGAAACAGGGTTTTCAGACACTAATTTGTGGCTAGAATGGATGAGGTACAACGCTAACTCGCACAATAAGACTAATTGTTATGTATGTGG